GACAGACAAAACAGAAATCTCTTCCCCAGCGATAATGGCTGAGTTTAGGATCACGTCCTAAAAGCTCAGCAGGCTTTGCCAGGAGAGCTGAACCACCTGGGGAGTACAAAGACGTACAAAGCTCTGAGGTTAACCAATGTAGTAATGATATTTAATAAAAAGAGTACACTGAGATTTCAAGGCTAATCCTGGGGTACCGTTTGTAAAGACTACCGGGGAATAGTTAATTTAAGAATTGGCTAACGTTCTTCTCCCCAAAGCCTGCAAAACTCTCATAAATGAAAATATGCTGGATCATTGCCCAGTGAGGAAATAAAAGTTATGAATAATGCTTCTAACTCTATCATTGTCAGCACTTCAATATTTCCAATTACTTTTAAAAGCTAAAATATTTAATGTAGGAAGCACCCTTAAAAAAAAAAAAACAGGATCCCAAATTAGTGCCCTTTCATAGGTCAATGGACAGCATTTGTCTGAAGCCATTCACAAGTGCCCAGTGTGGCTCAGTTTTTTCAGTCTAAAGGCCACACCAATGTCACCCATGGGAAGACGCTTAGAGGCACTGAGGAGTAAGAAGGGTACAGAGCGTGCTGCCATCATGAAAATCTGCTACCAGGACTTATAAAGTGGAATAAAATTGGGTGGAAGTATTTCTATCCAGAGGCCAAGGGCTTGGAAAAGTTACTTTTTTTGGTACTACAACAACAAAATTGAACTTACTAGCAGTTGGACTGGTAATAACACCACATCAGAGCTGCAAAAAACTGCAATATTAGGAATGAAATACATATTACAATGATATTTAATGGATACTTAGGTTTTTGGTCAAAAGTTGTAAGGTAAAGGTAAAGGTTCCCCTTGACATTTAGTCCAGTCATGTCCAACTCTAGGGCGTGGTGCTCATCCCCGTTTCCAAGCCATAGAGCCAGCGTTTTGTCCGAAGACAATCTTTCCGTGGTCACATGGCCAGCATGACTAGACACAGAACGCCATTACCTCCCCACGGTGGTGGTACCTAATTATCTACTCATATTTTTACATGCTTTCGAATTGCTAGGTTGGCACAAGCTGGGACAAGCGACGGGAGCTCACTCAATCATGTGGATTCAATCTTACGACTGCTTGGTCTTCTGACCTTGCAGCACAGAGGCTTCTGCAGTTTAACCCGCAGCACCACCATGTCCCAATTTAAAAGTTGCATCTGTTATATAATACCAATCTATACTTTATGATATTGTCTGGTCTTGACTGTTTCATATTTTTGCATATTTGTATTAATAATATTTTCAGTCTTTGCAGCAGCTGGAATACTATTATTTACTCCAGAGATGGAAAACTAGACTACAACAGCCAGAATTCCCCAACCACTGGCCATCCTGGCTGGGGGATTCTGGGAATCATAGTCCACTATGGACCCAATCAATTTCTGATTCACATCAATGGGAATACTTGTGACATGGAGTTCTCTGCCTGTCTGTCTGTCTCTTTTCTTTCTTGCTCCTTCTCTCTCCATGTAACTTGCTCATTATAAGATATAAAATTTCACATAACCATTTTAACTGGGCAAAAGAGGGCTGGGGCAAGAAAAAAGAAGATGATAAAAAGGGTAATTCAGAATAACATGACTTCTGGGTGATATTTCATCATCATTTTTACCAAGGGCTTTTAAAAGCTTTTCTATTAATAGCTACCCACTATTTCATCTAGACTTCCTCACCCTTATCAGCCAGTCCGTCTTTTGAGAAAAAAGATCTCCTGTCTTAAGAAAAGGAGATTTAACATATTTAAGAGCCCCATACAACAGGACTCTTTGGGAAAGGACATGGCCTGGATTGATCTGGTTTGCCTTCCATTCACTTCAACTTGCCTTCCAGCAGGATCTTGGTCCACCTAGCCATGTATGACGGACAGACGGATGGACTGACTTATAAGCGGCTTTCTAAGGTCTCATGTACCCTTCTTCCCTATTCCTAGATGGAGATGTACAAGATGAACCTTCAACAACCAACATGTACAAAGCATGCGCTCTGCTCTAAGCCACAGCCTCTCCTTAGCACCGGAATAATCCTAATTCTCTCTCTCCCTGCTACAGATATTAGATATTATATCCCAGTCTTCTCCAACCCAGATGTTGGGAAGGCTACCCTAATGCAGTACATCCCAGTGGAACTATTCTTCATCCTCTAGGGAAACACAGCACCCATCCCATTCCAGCCATTGGCACACACCCACTCCTCACATTCCAGGAAGGGCCAACTTCACCTTCCCAGAGGCTAAGACACACAGCGCTCTTAGTGAGAGTCACAGGCTGACAGTGTGAGTCTTGGAACCTTCCCAGGAGGATGGGATACCAAGATACTGTACATCCTGTACAAAAGCCAGGACTCTGGCACAGCGGAGGAGCGTGGCCTAGACCTGGGAGTTGCTGAACCCAGGCCCAAGCCAGGAACACTTGAGTCCTTTTGCACCCATGGCCCCACAGAGACTACCACTCATTGCAGGAGAGGCTGCATCTTGCCCTCCAGCTTCTTCCCAGAGCAGATAATACGTATTTTTAAGGGCAGGAACGGAAAGTGGGGATGGAACGGTTGGTTCCATTCCAGAAGATTTCCTCATTAAGAGCCTTGAAGGGGCCAACCTGGCTGGCGACTCATTGCATGAGAGGCTGCATCTTGCCCTCCAGCTTCTTCCCAGAGCAGATAATACGTATTTAGGGCAGGAACGGAAAGTGGGGATGGAACGGTTGGTTCCATTCCAGAAGATTTCCTCCTTAAGACAATCTTCTTCAGGCAGAGCCTTGAAGGGGCCAACCTGGCTGGCGGGGGGTGAAGGGCTCAGAGGAGCTCCAAGCTTCGCTGGAGCAAGCTGCCTCCCTGGAGTTAAAGCAGGACTCTGTGGTTCCAACAATCCCCCAGCCATCATGGCCAGTACCTTTTCCAAGCTCTGATTCTCCACCTGGGCCTTATCTATTACCTGACTGACAAGCATCCTCCACGTCCTTCCTGTTCATGGCCATGACATGCCTGACAGGCGCCCTCTCTCTTTCGTCTTGTTTGCAGCGTCCCTCCCTCCTGTGCTATCAATGCTGAAGCCCTCTGCATAGTGCTTACCCCCTCCTTCCGAGTCATCTTCCTTTTTAGCACCTGCACCTCTCCATGCCCCTTAAGTCACCCTAAAGTCTGGGACCTGTCGTCCAAGAACACAGGTCTGCACACACCCCAGCTCACATCCCTCGCAGGTGCAGAGGGAGCTACTTTATCACAGAAGACTTTCAGACTCCACCTTTTCCCCTGTGGGTTTCCAGCAAGCAGCAATCCAGAAGGTCTCCGGAGGTAATCTCCAATCAGCCTCACTTCTGCGCACTCACTGAAGGCTGCATCAGCTTCCTCCCTGTTGCTTCTTTTGTTCTGGCATGCAGTCAACACATTCGTCAACACTGATCTTCATAGGCACTCCCTCAGTTATTCCTGTTCAAAGGAGCCCTGCCAACAGCTCTTGAAGCCTCTTCTAGACGTTACTGCCTCTTCTCAGGATTAATATATCCCATGTGTGGGCAAAGTATAGCCCCCCAGACCGCCAACCCCAGCATTCCTCCCCATAGCTATGCGGCCAAGGATAATGGGAATTGCAATTCAACAATATTTTAAGAGACACACTTTCTGCTCCCTGTTTGTGGTCTCTGCTTTCCACTTTTGCAACCCTATCTTCTCTCTCCACTAATGCCCACAGTTATTTGCAACCACCCCATTAATCTTATAACAGAGATGACTCTTGCTCTTATTAAACAACAAGATGCTTTTATAACCCTTTGGACTCAACAAAATGACCCAAGATGAACCAAGGATGGCCACATCCAGGAAGGACACAGCAGCCAGAACTGGGATTGGAGACAACGGCCCAGTGATTCCATTTGTCTCATCTTTTGCACGCTTGTCAACGTTTCCAATCAATACTAGAAATAAGAGGTAGACTGTCCACTCAGGAAATTAACTGCAGTATCTTTTCTTGATAAGTCCTGTACTCACTCCTTCCTTCTAGCTGCCTTAACAAGCTCAGTGCTTTTCTGTCAGTAACAGATATACCATCTTATGTTGTATTACTCTCTGATGTTTAATTTGGAGGCAATGTTAGACTTTTTGTTCTAGTATAAGCTCATTGAGCCAGCTAGTGCACTAATTGACTAATTAACAGGAAATCAGACAAATTAGGCTTCTGTGACAGGAAGAATTTTTAATCTGAATTTTGAGGTTTTCTTTCCAGGAGGAAATATATATGGCAACCAATGGCTAGTTGGACAATATTACATAAAATCAGGAATGATAGAAAACATGGGAAGAAAACCTTCTAAATAGCAATGGAGTACTTAAACAGGACGAATTTTCTGCCACGAACTCCCTCCACCTTGATGCCAATCCTGGTAGAAGACACCATCACAGGTTACTTACAAAGGAAACAATGTGAGCACAGAATAATGCACAGAATTACATAGAAGGGGACAGACGTTTAGTATGGCCTAGTTTTAATACTGGCAGAAATATTAGCCAATAAGTGTATGTAACAGTTTCACAAACACACTCGATTCACCACCACCACTACTTTTTTGGGGGGAAAACTATGTTTCCCCCATAAAGGAAGCTGTAAGGATTCAGTAGTCAGAAAATCCCTTAATCTCCCAGCTGAAAACTCCATGCCATAGAGCAACATGCAGCTATTAGTGCAGTTTTGCCATTAAAAATAAAACTTGACCGTATATAAAACCATTTGAAGATAATAATAAAAAAAAACAATAACAGACCCATTGCTTCATTTGGACAATCGTTATCTCAAAACTGATTCATAACATCTCATAATCATGAGATTTATTATAGACACTTCTACCTACGTTCTTTCTGAAGACAACATCCAGGCGAATTGCATCTAACATCATAACTATGCTAATTCAATGTTATGGAGCATGGATGCTCTTTTACTCTTATTTTGTTCTCGTTGTTTTTACTCACCACTGGAACAGTCTGGACCTCCCCATCCTGGTTCACAATGACATGTATCAGGAGAAACACATCTTCCATGGACACATTCTTCTGTGCAAAGAGCTGGCAATAGAAAAATATATGTGTGTATCCCATTACAACATGAATATCAGATGGTATACGTATGCAGATTACTTGTGTACTCTATCATTAATAACAATTTGAAGTGGCCTGCATTTTTAGGAGTTAGTTTTATAACGAGTCACAATATTTTATGAACATTCCACAATATGTAAGGAAAATGCAACACAATAAAATATATAACCCAGAAATATAAATTGTTTCCATAAAATGTCATACCTTCTGAACTACCAGAGAGTACAGATGTGAGGTGGATTTTGACCTGTGTTGGCTTCATTAAACACTCCAGGGTACTAAAGAAGACTTAAATTGGGCCTAGCTAAAGTCACTCGGCAATATTCACACAGAAAATTTAGCATTTCCTCCTCACATATCCTGAATTAGCACGGACAGAAGGAGACTGGCTTGCATTCAATTCCATTTCAAATTAGTTTCAGTTTAACATGTCATCTGAACCCAAAACCATAGTTAATCTTAGCTAAGCTTAAAGGGGGAAAAGTCAGCCTCATAAATTATGGTTAAGAGTAACTAGTCCTTCCAGGTGTGGATTAAATGGCAAACTACTGCTAATCTAGAAAAGTCTTGCTTCCAAACTCTTCCAAAGCTTCCTAAATACAGTTTGGCATGAAATGTAAATCATCACACCAGCTGGACTGAGATAGCAGGAAGAGGCCAAGCTGTGCAGGACACAGCGGAGGTCCTGTGGGGCACAGGATCAAGGTCTGAACACAGGGCCAAACTAGAGAAAGCATCATGCATACAATTACTAATTGCAAGAGTGGCTTTCTAAAGGGAAATGGCCAATACAATTTGCTGTTGTGTCACCAGAGTATCCCACCCATTTGGGATAGGGGGAAACGAACTTCCTCTACCCCACAAACACACAGAACCAAACCAGATGAGAGACCCTACTCTCCACATCAGGGGATACGCAGATGCTTCTATTAGGAATGACCTTGTGTCTTGTTTGGTATCTCTAAATAGCAAAGTAGGCCATTGCAAAAGAGCCAAGTTTGCAAAAGAGTTAAGAAATGCATTCCTTTTCCTTCTTCCCCCTTCTTAGAGAAGAAAACAGCAAATTAAATCCATCTGTCTGCCTGCCTGCCTGCCAATCTATCTGCCTGCCTACCTACCTTTTCATCCAAATAGCTGGATTACATAGCTAGATTTTACAGCTCAGCATCAGATAGTACTTTACACCCACATGCTCTGCAGTCACAACTCTAGTGAGCATTTTATACAGTACTTTTCCTGACTCTTCAAAAGGTTTCGTATATATTATCTCCATAATCCTTCAGAGCTATTATTTCATGGAAATCGAAATCTTGCAGATCTAACAAGAGCATAAACACATTTGGACAGAGCTGGACTTGAACCAGAAATAGGAGGAATTGGAATTCAGAATTCTGAAAAAAAACATGGCTTTGTTTAGTGACCTTGGGCAAATCGCCATTGCTCAGTCTCAGTTCTTCTCTCTGTAAAAAGGAAAATATCCAGGGCTCGCTTTGCAGAATTCTGAAAGAGTTAGAGGAGGTAAGCTGCTTTGCAAATCTGAAAGACTGATTGAGTAAATTAGATGTTACCTCATCCAGGTACGGACAAAATCAATCAAGACTCCTATGGCACCTTAAAGATTCCCACATTTATTACTGGATGAGCCTTTAATGGGCAAATTAAGAAGCCACACGATTTGTTAGATTTTACTGCAACAGGCTAGCAATGAACATTAATAACTGCATACTATCAAATCAATTCTGACTTCTGCCAACTCCTTCTAGGGTTTCTGGGTATACTCAGAAGTAGTTTACCATTTTGTTCTTCTGGGGGTACTTTGGGACGGTTCAGCTTCCCTCAGGCTTTACAATCAGGGACGTTGTGGTGGCGCTGTGGGCTAAACCGCAGAAGCCTGTGCTGCAGGGTCAGAAGACCAAGACTTCCCTCAGGCTTCACAAGGCTGGCTCTTTTCCCAAGTGACAAAGTGGGGAACTGAACTGCCAACCTCTGGCGCTGCAAGCCACTTTCCTAACTCACTGAGCTAAGTGGGGCCTGGAAACTAATATGCAGACAATTTACTTTAGGTTACCATCTGGAAATGGAATGGCTGCTTGCACGAGTTTCTAGATCTGTCCCATGAAGTATAGGGGGGAGTGAGGAGAAAGCACTTGTCCTGCTGTAATCTTTAGCATTTAATTAATTTTTCATTCTATTAACATTCCACATAATAGGATACAGTGGTCCCCAAGGCACTCTTCTTAATGTACTTTTGCAAACGATCTCTCCAGTTAATGGAACCATAAAAATTATTTGCATCAAAAGGTCAGGCAAAAATAAAGACGAGCCTCTGCTCTCGAGCGTTGCCCTGCTCTGCACTGCATCACCATGGGTCCCCGGAGTAAGGAAAACTCTTGCACGTGTGCAAGCAAAGGTAGTGTCTCATTGCCCACATAACTCTCGTGGCTCTTCAGGCAACTGGAGTGCCACCTTTTGTGCATCTGCAGTCCCCAGCCCGTTTCCACCTCTCCTCCCCTAACCTCATGGACCATTTCTCCTGAACAATCCAGCATCTCATTGATTAGTTTATTATTAGCATTCTTGGCATGAGTAGCAGTTCAGTATGGAGTTGGTTTCAGCGTGGTAATAAAATGACCTACATCAAAGTCCTGCCAAAAATGCCAACTTGGTAGCAGATGCGTTTAGCATGAGATATTGGGCCACATTCAAGGTCACTCTGTAACCAATCTTCAGCACAGAATTTTAAAAGAAAAGGGAAATGCAGAAGAGTCAACAGAGGGAGCTCGGTAACGGTTTCACATGATGCTTATCACTTCTTCTCATTTATAATAGCTGCCACCCATCCCAAAACTGCTGATATTATCATGCGGCTGAGAAACATGCTTTAATCCAGCCCCATACCTCTATTTCCAGTCCGTTCCCCAAACCCAGTATCTATTTTCAGTTTCAAAGATTATTAGAATGAGAAAGACTACCGAGAAATCAAAGTTTTCTGCCACATGTAGGAGACTAAGCAGGGAGTTAAGCCACACTGCCGTTGTTGTTCGTTATTTAAGGTGAAAATAATCAACAGGTCACTAAATACTGAAGATCAGGGAAAACATCCTAACTCTTAGAGCAGTATGAAAGTGGAACCAGTTACCTCAGGAGTTGGTGAGTGCTCCAACACTGGAGACATTCAAGAAAAACTTAGCTAATCACCTGGCAGACATGCTTTGAGCAGAGGGTAGGACTTGATGGTCTTATAGGCCCCTTTGAACTTCACTTTTCTAATATTCTATTGCTACAGTATTTTACAGAATTTAAAGTACTGCATACATTCAATCTCCTGGTTCCTGTCTGGAAATGGATGGAAAAAGTAAATGAGAAAAAATAAAGCATGAGAACCTCCATTGGAGAGGGGAATTTGGGGATGCCATAAGTCAAAAAGGGGGGCTCTAGAGGCCTTTTGGGGGCCAAAAATAACATCCCCCATTTGGAGGGGATACTTTGGGTTCCATATAAATGCAGCTGGGGCCACATGTGGGCTACAAACTGTGCTTTGCTCACCCCTGCTTTAAGATAATACTTCTGTGTCTTCCATTGGAACAAGTAGGCAGGCTACCCCAGCCATCTCACACCTGCCAGCCTGCTTAACAGAAGTAGGGGGTCTCTGTCTGTGTACATGCAAAAGCCCGCCCGTCCATGAAAACAGACAGGATGCTTGTACAGCAATCACCACACTTTCCTCTATCTGGTGTACACTGCCATCAGTTGAAAACCACCCTGAATCCTTCCATTCTGACAAAGCTCTCTGTCATCAAACTGCTTTCTAACAAAACTACACTCCAAAACCAAACCAAACTTTCTCTCTCATACACACACTCTTTATATACATATTCAAAGAACAGTATCTCTACAGCCAGACAACATACCAGCCAAGGGCAACACAGTTCCATTCGCCTACATTCTATCTGCCTCTTCAGACTCTCCTGGCATACGTCTAATTTGCTTGCTGCTGACGGTCAAAACCCAGTCACTCATCATCTATACCAATACCCATGTACAAAATATATACAATATATATACAGCCTCTTTGTGCAGGTGCATGTGTACAAATACACAGTGTTGCCCTTCCCCATGTCCACCACTGGTTGCTGGGCCTTCTATTGCACCTTCCTTCTAGGACACGATCCACCTCTGATCGTATTGTTACTGTTTAACCTTTGTATATATTTCTGTATCTAGATGTAACTTAACAACTTTTTAAGGAAATACAGCATTATTGTCCCCTGTGACAGGGTCACCCCCCGGCCAGGCATTGGCCACCACCTCAGGCATCCGAGGGTCTCAAACCAAGCTACCACGAGTTGACACTGGTGCAGAGCAGTGTCAACTAGTCTGGGAGTGAGAGGAGGCTATAGCAGATGGTACAGTTACCTGGGAAAGGAGGAAGAGGAAGAGGCCATCTACCCACTGGGGGCCATAAAAGAGACCTTGGTGGGGACCAATGAAGAAGGTCTGGAGAGGATAAGGGACACCTGTACCTTTTGGGGGAGGTGGTGGAAACCCTGGAGATGGAGGAAGAAGTTGGCTTGGGGAGACACCTGTGAGGTGTGTCAAGGGAGCTTGGAGCGATGAGGAGGCAAATACTGGGAGGGTACCTGGACAGTTCTGGATGGCTTGGAAAGACGGTAGTGAGCCAGGAGTGTCAGACCTACTCCCTTGCCTCATGCCCCAACAACATGACCCCCTCTGCCATCAACTACTGTACTTAGGTTTACAAATATAGAAAGCTCTGTACATAACCAGGTCAGGATCATTAAGTGGTGCCCCGCATAGCAATGTTAATCCATTACGGATTAATTGTCGCTATCGGAAACATCGCTAAACGGAACTAAAAACCCCATAGGAATGCATTAAACTTTGTTTAATGTGTTCCTATGGGGCCCAGACTCATCGTTCAGCGAAGATCCTCCATAGCGCCGCCA